CGTGCCACCCGCCCACGCTGCCATGTCCCTGAATGGCAACAATCTGGTGAACGGCCTGCCAGGAGTCGTCCAGCAGCATCAGCAGCCAGCTCCTCCGCCAACAGGCCAGCAGTATATGCCACAGAAGCAGCCCCAGCAGTTCCAGCAGCAGCCACCACCTGCAGCCGCTTATCCTGGAGCAGGAGCACCGGCACCTGCACAGGGTAACCTGCCCCCTCCGCCGCAATTCAACAGCGGCATTGCGAGCCAGTTCTTGCCGCCAACGTCGGGAGCAGCGCCTCCTCCGCTGCAACAGCTGCCGCCCAGCACGTTGCCGCCCCATCTGCGTCCGCCAACCGTCAACGGGCCGCCGCCACCGCTCACCAACGGCAGCAATGGGGCGTCCAGCGCCAACTCCTCGCGCACTGCCTCCCCCCGGCCTCCAGTGGCAGGTGCTGCTCAATATGCCCCAGGACCCGTGGCCGCCGGACTGCGCCCCTCACCGCCCCAACCGACGAGCCAACAGTCCTTGGCCAACTTGACGAGCAATCTGGAGAACATGAACTTAAACGCCAGCCGGACGAACGGGGGTGCCTGCGCCGTGCCACCGCCTCAGCAACAGTACCCGCCTCTGGCGCAGAAGGACTACAGGGGCGTGGCTACGGCTCAGACGGGTCAGCCTCCGCAGCAGTTCAACGATGCCAGCAGCCTGTTGGCGGCCAGCGGCGTGGCTCCTCCTGTGGTGCCAAACGCTATGGCGACGCCATTTAGTGGTCAGAAGCCACCCAACTTGGCTCCTCATCCGGCCAAGATGTTCGGCAGCGCAGCGGTTCCCGGCAGACCCACACCACCGCCAGCGGGGCAGAGGATCCCCTACGGAGTGCCGTCGTCGGCCAGTTCCGAGCAGCAAAACCAGCAGAACAACAACCTCCAGAGGGCGGCGCCGCCACCGGGAGCGGGAGCAGCCTGGCCGCCGAGTCTGGCCAAGGCGGCAGTGCCTGCAGCGCAGCCCCCATTGCCCCCACCGCAGCAGCAAGCGCAGGCGCAGCAGTATCCCTACGCCCAGGCGTATCCAGCGCCACAGCAACAGCAACAACCTTCGCCTCCGTCTGCAGTGCAGCCACCGCCTCCGGGCATGTTTGGAGCCGGAGCCCAGACCGCCGGGGCTCCACTGCAGTATCAGGCCCAGACGCCGCCACAGGCCTTTGGACAACAACCGCAGCAGGCACCGGGCGGACCGTTTGCCGCACCTGCTCCCCTAAACGTGGCCCAGCAGGGATTCAGCCGGCTGTGGGGTCAGGACACCATCGACTTGATGCAGAACCGGCACATCTTGTCGCCAGCAACGCTGCCGCCGCCAAAGGTGGTGCTGCACAACCAGTTCCACGAGTCCATCAACTGCAGCCCGAGCATCATGCGCTGCACTCTGACCAAGATCCCCGAGAGCAACTCGCTGCTGCAGAAGTCACGGCTGCCGCTAGGCATCGTGATACATCCCTTCCGCGATGTGAATGTGAGAATTATAGTGAAATCGCCATTAATTGAATGACTTCAACTTGATTAACATCCCACAGAGCCTGCCCGTGATTCAGTGCATCAACATTGTGCGCTGCCGGCTGTGCCGCACCTACATCAATCCCTTCGTCTACTTTGTGGACAGCAAGATGTGGAAGTGCAACCTCTGCTACCGCGTCAACGAATGTAAATACATTACAAGTGATGAGTGCACAAAGGTTACTAATTTGAGATATTATTTCCTCCGCAGTGCCCGATGATTTCCAATTCGATCCGGCCACAAAGACGTACGGCGACGTGACCCGCCGGCCCGAGGTGCGGTCCAGCACCATCGAGTTCATTGCCCCCTCGGAGTACATGCTGCGTCCGCCGCAGCCGGCCATGTACCTGTTCCTCTTCGACGTCTCGATCATCGCGCAGCAGAGCGGCTACCTGGAGGCCGCCTGCGCCACGCTCAACCGGCACCTGGACGAGATGCCCGGCGACGCACGCACCCAAGTGGGATTCATCTGCTTCGACAGCTTCGTGCACTTCTACAGCATGGCCGAGGGCCTCAACCAGCCGCACGAGATGACGCTGCTGGACATCGAGGACCCCTTCCTGCCGCGTCCCGACAGCCTTCTGGTCAACCTGAAGGAGTGCAAGGAGCTGGTGCGGGATCTGTTGAAGCAGCTGCCCAAGCGGTTTGCCCACACCCACGATCCGGGTTCCGCCTTGGGCGCTGCCCTGCAGGTGGCTTTCAAGCTAATGGTGAGTGAAGTTACTGATCGAGATCAGCAGCAATTAGTAATCCCCAATACCCAAATTCGACTGTCTGTAGCAAGCGTCTGGCGGCCGCATCACCGTCTTTCAATCGTGCCTTCCCAACAAGGGACCCGGCGCCCTGGAGCCGCGCGAGGATCCCAACAACCGCTCGGCCAAGGACGTGGCCCACCTCAATCCGGCCACCGACTTCTATAAGCGCTTCGCCCTGGAGTGCTCCGGCTATCAGATAGCCTGCGACCTCTTCCTGATGAACCAGCAGTACAGCGACATGGCCACCATCTGTGAGTGTTTTGTATAGCTTATAAATATAATTTGGTTTTATACTCACTTTATCTCACATCTTTGCAGCTGGCATCAGCAAGCACAGTGGCGGTTGTGTTCACCACTTCCCGCTCTACCAGAAGACCAAGCCGCACATGGTGGACTCGTTCCGGACGTGCTTTAAGCGCTACCTGACCCGGAAGATCGGCTTCGAGGCGGTCATGCGCATCCGCTGCACGCGTGGCCTGCAGGTGCACACATTCCACGGCAACTTCTTCGTGCGCTCCACGGACCTGCTCTCGCTGCCGAACGTGAATCCGGATGCGGGCTACGGCATGCAGATCTCGTACGACGAGAGCCTCACGGACGTGAAGACGATCTGCTTCCAGGCGGCGCTGCTCTACACGAACAGCGAGGGCGAGCGCCGAATCCGAGTGCACACAGTGTGCCTGCCGGTGACGGCCTCGCTGCCGGAGGTAATGCACTCGGCGGACACGGAGGCCATCATTGGGCTGCTCTCCAAGATGGCCGTGGACCGCTCGGTGGCCTCCAACCTGTCGGATGCCCGCGACGCCTTCATCAACGCCACGATCGATGTGTACAACGCCTTCAAGATCGCACAAAATCTGCCCTCGGGTCAGTCTGGTCAGCTGATAGCCCCGCGCAGCCTGGCTCTGCTGCCCCTCTACATCCTGGGCCTGCTTAAGCACGTAAGTTAGCCTTGATGGTGAAACTGGAGTGAGCCCGGCACTAACCGCTCGCTCCCTTAGCCCGCCTTCCGCGTGGGAACCAGTACGCGATTGGATGATCGGGTCTTCGCCATGGACTGCATGAAGACGCTGCCGCTGGACCAGCTGATGAAGTACGTCTATCCGGAGCTGTACAAGATCGATGCGCTGATCTACCATGCCCGCAACTCCAATGTGAGTGCGAGCCAGGACGACGACGAGGAGGAGGACGAACCGCTGCCGGAATTGCCGCGCCTGCAACTATCCGCGGAACAGTAAGTGTGGTGGTCACCTAGGTACCCGTTCAGATTAACATTCTAAATGCTTTACAGCCTGGACTCGCGGTCAATATTCCTGTTGGATTGCGGCACGCTGATAATGCTCTATGTGGGGCTAAATGTGCCACCCGATGTTTTGGAGGCTGTGCTGGGTAGGAGACCTAAGTTTGAATGTGTGTGAGATCCCCAGTTAACCATTCCTTTCATTCCAGGCATCAGCTCCACCGCAGAGCTGGCTGACTATGTATACGGATTGCCAAATGTTGTGAGCAACGAGAACGATGTGCTGAAGCGCTTTATTATGCGACTCAACTACGATAAGCCCTACTCGGCGCTGGTGCAGATAATTAGGTGAGTTGGAGACACATTGAAAAGATGGTTCATCCCTCAATAATCCATTCTCCATTCCAAGGGACACGAGCACGGCCAAGGGCCAGTTCATCGAGAGATTAACCGACGATCGCAGTGAATCTAGTTTGTCATACTATGAATTTTTGCAACACATTCGGGCTCAGGTTAAATAGTACATAAGCAGGGAATCCTACCACTATTGTATGCAACATAAATACGAGTTTCTTAGAACCTAAAAACTCAGACTCTGGTGACTAAAAGCAAGAAGTGAACGCAGGCGAAACTGGAGCAACACAATGGAGACCAGTATGGGACACACATCCACTAGATTCCCCTCTATCCCTATCCCTATCCCTATCCCTACCCCTACCCTACCCCTTACCCACTCTCTCGGCTTAGGTAATTTTAAAGTGCATGTATTTATTTATTTGTTGATTTGTTGCACTAAAAATAAAATTAAATTAAATCAATTAAAGAAGATAGTGAATGCGAGAGAGCCAACTTGTCACAACCGAAAGTAGATATCGAACTACAATGCCAGTTCGGATTAGGCGAACGATAGTCAAAAGTCCAGCTAACTAACCAGTCAGTAGAGCTCCCCTGCAAGCGGATTGCACTGTTATTTATTATAGATATTTTATGCAATAAACACTAACGAAACACTGTTGTAAATTATAATTTAACGCGATTTTCGTTCGTTCCAACTGCTTCAAACATTCTGCAAACTCTCAGCCCCACAAATTGTTATCGCTTATCCCATTTTTTTTTGCTGTTTTCAGTAGTATTTATTTCCCGGAATCCAGAGGAACCTATCATACAATTCTATTTATTTGTAAGTCGAAGGGAAGAAGGCGCTTTGTTGCATTGTAGTTAGCGAACTTATTTCAAACGAATGTACGGGAACAGATTTGGTATTGTGTATTGCATTGATTGGACTGCTAGGAAGTGAATGTCTTAAGCTTAGAAGGATTATTATACTGTATCAATAAAGAGACCCCAACCCTGTACACCAGGTGACGCAGTTGTCGTTCTTTGAGTGGGCTAACTAATCGAAAAACCATTTACATATACTGTACTATACTTTATACACATACGAGTGCATCAAAATATAAAGCGAAATAAATTTTAATTAAATCATGAGGCAATGCGTTTTATTGGCACATTGGTACAGTACTTGTCTTCATTTGGCGAAGAGCTCTAGATTACGTATTTGAGAATCATTTGGAATGGCTAGACTTCTAGTATCAAAGATGGTAAAGTACTCATCTACATGTAGGATAGATCCCCACCTAGCCAAAGATTTCTGAAAAAGCTAAGTTCTTAATACTGGATTTAAGTTTCTTGGCTAATTAAACTTACGGATTGAAGAAAGGGGAGCGCGGCGGATATGTCCTCTTTGGTGGTGGACACAAAATAGGATCCAGCTTGAGATCGGAGTTAAGATCACATGCGTCGGGATTGCGCTTCTCCCATTCCAAGGACCTCTCCTCCGGGCGGTAGCCATCGGTGGCGTGCTCGATCTTCACATGGACACTAAGGTGATCCTGCAGGAGGAAGACCTTGTCGCACAGCTGGCATTGGAAATGGCCATCTGTACTGGGCACATGGGCCTCATGGAATCTTTTGTAGTGCTGGCGCAGCTCCAGCGAGGATCGCATGCTGCGTCCGCAGAGATCGCAGACCTGGCTCCTGGCCACCGGCTGTGGAAAGTGGACGGACAGGTGATCGTCAAGCTTCTCAATGGCATCGAAAGTCTGCTCACACAGCAGGCACGACAGATTCATTCCAGACAGCGCCGTCTCCATTGTTATTGCCTATTAGTCGATATAATTTCACAATGAAAACATGTAACTCGTGCTTTACTTAATTAATTAAATAGAAAAATAAGCGAAGGGTTGCAGTTAAGTGGAGTTTTACGCCCTTAAAAAACAATTATTTAAGTTAATTCAACAATTTTTACGCACTTATAAACTGCGGTGATCGATAAATTACTGTTCTAGGTACAACTTCACTATTTTGTCATCTCATTCCGTTCTTATCCGCCTTTCTTTTCTTCCGATATTCAGCTGCGGACCTGCAAGCGCAGTTTTCTGGAAAGCAACTGTTCTTTTCACGATCGAACGTTTTACATTAGGCTCTTTCTCCACGAGAGAGAACAAGTCAGCGAGGCAGAGAGAAAACTCGAGAGAGCAGAGAGTCAGTGATTCAGTTTTAGCGTTTTCGTAGCTAAAACTACATATAGAGAAGCGACTACTACATTTCTATATAATTTTCAAGTTTTTTACAGTTTAATCTTTTAAACAAATTTTAAAGAAAAATTAAGGCTGCTACTGCACTCTTGCAATATGAAATACATTTTGTTTAAACAAGTTAAGCTCAACAATAAATTGACTTTTAGACTTTAGTTTTGAAATACATTCATACATACATATATGCCAGGTTCAATTCGTTCGGAAATAAGTATCGTCATGCAACATAGGGGCTATAAAGATCTGGGTATACATAAATTGAATTCTACGGATAGGAAAACTTACTGCTCAATTCTCGATCCTTGCAGCTCACTATTTTCTTAAACAAGAATGAACGTGGTTCAAAGCAGTTTATTTGGACGACGCCCTCCTTCGGTCATAATGATATAATACACACATACATATGTACATATGTATACACATTTTTAAATTGTGACCGCCCTCAACGTCGTTTCAAATGTATTTATAGTTTGAAGGACGGCTGTGCAACAATAACAAAAGAATTTAGTTGATGATTTTCATTTATAATTCTATACCCATAATTTCTTAAGTTTTTAAATTTGTTTTATTATTTTTAATTTTTTAGCGGACATTTTGGAAGATTTCATAATTTTAAGCACCAGGCGAACAAAAAAATAGCAAGTGCCAAAAATTCTTTTCGAAACCCTAAGCAAAGTTTTGCTGATAAGGATTTATGACCGAGCTCTGAAACTGGGTATAAAATTTGTTAATGTGTTCTGTTCTCTTGTTAACTAAATCGTATATTTTTATTTTTACTTAATGATGCATATTTAAATTAATAATAATTATTTTTATATATTATAATTTTAAAACGAAAATATTTGTTTTTGAACGGGTGAACAGAATGCGTAACAAGTGTCAAACTTGAATATTACGCAGCTTGTATAATCGAAATTCAAAAACTATTAAGTCATTCGGGGCGATCCAGTATAAAAAACTCGGAACATTCTCATAGTTTATGGGGCAATCTGCGATTAATTAAAGCTAAAATAATGTATGTATAAAATACTCATAAACGGAAACAAATAACCAATTGAAAATTAATGCGAGGTAAGATTAACGCCCTACAACTAAATACAAATAATGCATAAAAAATATCTATTTGCGATTGAGAATAGTGAATTAACTTTTATAGTTTTTAAATGTGTAGTTTCTGGCGTTACAAAAACATGTGTGTAGCAGGTGTCAGGGGTCTGGAAGGCACTATCAGTAAATTCCCAGCGGGAGATTACATTTGCTCTAAGTGCTTCGTGAAACCCGAGAATCCCGGCTGTGAAGTACCATTGGGCTGTTTACTTTAAAAAAAAGGACTAGAGGACACCGAGGGCAATAAAAATCACTTTCGGTTTGGTTGTGGATATACGATTCTTTATTTGGTTTCTCTATGGTTTCTCATTGGTTCATTTCATTTTAAAAGACCTACAAGATCAACGGACGAACTCGAGCGAATGCTCAAATTTCTTCGCTGAGCTCAGCAATTTGATTTTGTTTATTGTGACATAAACAATTATGGCTATAGCTTTGGGTTTCGAAGTCGAGATCCAATTTGCTGAGACGACAGAAAACACCGCCAGCGAGTGTGGTGGTGGTGTACATATCCATGAATTTCGATACGTACAGTGTACATTGTACATACTTGGGGAGCTCCATGAAATGAAGATAAACTTTATAGTTTAAATAACGAGACTAAAAGTCAGCTGGGCTGACCGCTTCCGCTTCTAGGCGATATGCCATTATTCTCAGCTCGAATATTCGATATTCAATATATAAGTAGGCGCACGTTCCTCCCACAACATCCGGGGAATCCTCTAGAAGTATGCATCGCAGTCCAGCCACAGATCGCTAGAAAAGAACAGAGAATTCAGTGGGAATGTAGGATGGTGATAAGCTTGTGCGGACATACGGATTGAAGAACGGCGATCGCATCGGATACGTCCGCTTCGGCTTGGTCGCGAAACCCGATTCCAGTTGCTCCGACTGCTGACGTGGCGCATTCACATACTTGTCCGCTCGTTCGCGGGCCGGCTCGTACTTGGCTGTGGCCAAGGCGTTGCAGATCCGAGTGCTCCAGATCGATCGACCCGGTTCTTCGGCCGGCGACGTCTCTGCCTCTGGGGAGACTTCAGCCTCCGGAGACGCTGGAACATCTGGCGATTCCAGAGCGGGAGCATTGATAATCCCATGCTTGACCTTCATGTGCATCAGCAGGAAGGTGCGCCGCTTGTAGCGCTTCTTGCAAGTGGAACACCTATGCTGCTTCTGCACATTCTTGCCCATCCGTTCCGCCGGCAGCTCCTCCTGCGAATGGAAGTGGCTTTCGTGATATTTCACAGACTGGCGGGAGCTCAACCGCTTGCCACAAAACTCGCACTCGAACTGACCCTTCGTTGAAGACGGCGGCTTGGGGTTTTTTGGCGGGGATTTTCGGTGCTCTGCAGCTCGAATTTTAATGTGGACTGGTTTTGGAACTTTTGCTTTCACTGGCACCGCTGGCTCATCCTCAGGAACAGACCTTCTCTCTGGAGCGGAGAACCTCTGCTCCAGCATTTGAAGCGGGAATTGTGGTTTGTTCAGATGGGCTGCGAACACTGGTTGACCGGGGAACTCCTGTAGCGATTGCGGTGTCATGGGGAGTGGTCCTTGGAATTCTAGTGGTGGCTGTGGAGGCATTTCGAGGTGCGGTGGATTAAGCGAGTGTTGGAGGGGGTAGTGCATGGGTGGTGGTTGCATCGCATGTTGGTGGGTGGGTGGCATTGGAAACGACATCGGTGGTTGAATGGGTGGCGAGTATAGATCCAAGGGTGGCTGGTGTACGTACTCCATGGGCAGGTGATAAGGCTGATACGGACCCATGGGTTGATGGGGATGGGGATGGTGATGATGGTGCTTGAACATCGACTGTGGCTCCTGCGCCTGCGCACGCGATGTGTTCCAGGCATGGATATCCGCCGCATGCTGCGTGAGGTGCTCCTTGAAGGTGTCGATGTCGTTGAAGGGTTGCTTGCACAGGTAGCACGGAATGCAGAGAACGAATCCCGGCGGAACATTGATCTGTCCGTTGCGGGCCAGTAGCTCCTTGAGCAGCGGCATGTCCATGGAGCCGGGATGTGTCGACGGCCACGGTTCATCGGTGGGCGAAAGTGGCGGTGACAAGGGAAAGCCGGACGGAATTTTCGGATACATTCTAGGGGGAAGCATAAATTGTTCCGGCTGCCGGAGATAGTGATTTCGATTATCCATGGGCTCCGTCTCAATGATCTCCACATCACTATCACATTCGGCGGGCATTGGGTTCTTGGGTTTTTTGAAATATTGACAACTGGGCTCTAAGATCGGTTCTCTGGCTAAACTCACCAGGTGGTCCATGTCCATGCTCTTTTACAGCTATTAAGTAAGTGAGCGAGTCTACACAAATATTAAGGTCCTCGAAATTCCGCAACGCAGCGCACAACTGCGCACTTCGATGTCTCGCAGAAGACTGGAAGAGGGAAAACACAATCGCTGGCTATTTATACCAGGCTGCGCTACGCTCCGATGAGTTGATTATTTCATTTTTGTAGATTTAAACTCGTGACTGGAATTGTTTTTGAGATGGTATAAGAAGGAGATAAAGGCATTTTGCATCGTCACATCAGCCATTCAAAGGCGTTCTAATCGTTTAAAGTATACATTTAGCAAATGAGTTGGAGGTCGTTTCTATCAATTATTTTTATTGGTTATATAAATCTTAATCAGTTTTTAATATGTGTAACACTTTGTCAATTAAATTAAGTGTCAATCAGCCTTTTACACTTTCAATACTTAACTCAATACGATTTAACTCAATACGAGAACTCATTAGTTTACAGTTTTATGACTTGTTTTTTAAAAAAGGATAAGTCGCAGGTAGTAAATAAACCCAAGATAAGAAAAACCATATTTTCACATCAGTATATCGTCTTAAGGTCGTAAATTAAATAAGGGATGAAAGTGTAGAGCTGAAGAATTGTGTACCCGCTTCAACATGTTTGAACAAATGCATAGAGCCTTATCGTAAATTAAATAAGGGATGGAAAAGAATGGCTGAAGAATTAAGTTCCCGCTTTAACATGTTTGAACACAGTATAGGGACTGTACCAAAAGTACAGTACTGTACGAAACACTTTCGGTGATAGCAACTTAAAAAGGCTCAATGGTGCATTTGAATTTAAGAAATGGCGGTTGTTGACAAGAATCGCTTATTTATTTCGTTTTCCTTTGAATTTCAGCTGAAAACATTTTGGGTAGTTCCCTCAATTGCTGAAAAAGTAGGGATTACCCAAATGGAGTAAAAATATTTTCTAAGAATAAAGGGAGAAAGCAGGAGACTTGCTATTTTATTATTTTTTCCTTGGCTTTGCCTGGCCTCTTATGATTGTTGATCTAAGAGATACCCAAGCTTTGGGAGGAGAATGGAAATCAAAACAATTAAAAATCCATTAAATTTAATTCTTATCATCTTCGAATTTGTTAACCTTATCAAACATTTTGCAAAGCTCAATGAGAAATTAAAAATAAATATGTATTTTATATTAATTGAATTTATTTTTAGGATTATAATTTATTATTTACACATATTTTAAGGTTTCTGTATAGCGACAAGTTTAATTAAAACTTTTTCCAAATCTCAATTGGACAAAAAGAATATAATTCAGTAAATCTCGAGTCTTACCATTCTTTTCTCATAAAGAAACAAATTAATCCTAAGCTTAAACTAGGATCTAATACAAAATGTGCGTGGCAGGAGATTATAATTTTGTTTTAACGCCAATTTCATGCCATTGGACCTTATCACTCGCTGTTGCCATGGAATTTTAAAGATTTAAATTGTGACCTTCAGAATATAACAAAATTTGAGCCCAAAAGGTTTTGCCCTCCTTAGGATTATATGTTCGTCTATTGACCTCCTTTTTTTCGCCTTAGTGTCAGGGCACAGGATAAGGCACTCCAAGCTGAAGGACTCTGCGTTTTTTCTCCGTTGTGCCACCACCTCCAGTGGCTAGGATTTACCTTTAAGTTCACTTAAACTGTTCGGGGGGTAATTTTAGCTATATCTGTTTTTATCTATGTATATATTGTAGACTATGTGTTTGAAATTGCCAAAAAGAATTGAGACTTTTACATTTTGCAGGCTTATCAGTACGGTACTCCTTTCAATAAACAACACATCAGCGCTCTTTTCGGAATGAAAAAGTTTGTCTTCTTAAAATGCCAATTGGCATGGCAGTCACAGTAATTGAGCTAATCTAGCGAAATTGTATTTAGTCGTCTCGAATACTATGTCGTGGCAGATGAAACATACAAAATTTCTGGTATATTACATTACTTATAAATAAAACATTTTCAAACCTTTATCCATTCGCCATAAAATATACTTTTACTTACAGATTCGTTTAGGAAAATAATTAAAGATTAGTAACCTTAATGAGGTGATATGACGTTTCAAGCCTATAAGTATTTTACATTTGAGGTTTGATAAAGGGAGTCATTAAGAGATTAACTAAAAACACACACACACACACACACACACCTAGTGGTAGGACTTCTTGTATCAAAGGAAATCAAATCAAATTAATTCTTGGCTGACAGCTCAGATAAGCTTATATTTTTCTAAAAGATTAAACCTAAGTCTGACGCACTTACACACTCAGCTTAGCTGTATTGAATACAAACCTGCTGAGGACCAATATAAATGATTATAATTTTAAAAAATATTTTTAATTGATAAGAACGCCATTTTGTTTAGTGACTGATTCGGAGATCATAGCACTGTACAAATACCTAGAGAACGAACAAAGATTACTGTTAAACCATATATCACTTGTGTTGTTGCTATTCTGTGCGGGCTTAAAAAACAATTAGTCTATATGGCTGGCACGTAGTTTTCTTTCAATAACTATCGTTCTCGCCCTTAACGACCATATGTAACGTAATGATTTCAAAATTTTTCTTAAGGGTTTCCCCTTGGTACCTGAATTTTTTGACGCATAAAAATAGGACCTTGGCTTGCTGCTTTTTTTTAGTTTGTTTAATTCAATAATCATGCTCTGTCGAATTCTCGTGTGTTCTGCTAGCATCAAAACATTGGGATTATCGAAGTATAACACCCTAAAAGCACTGTTGAAATTTCATCAGGAATAAAAAAGTTGTCGTCGATTAAACAACCTTTTCCTAACCCTGCCTGATACTCACCATCCTTCTGTGTACCAGCTTAAGCAGAGCAGAATATGTTCTTGATTGAATTCTGGAAAGAGATTTTCCATGTAGTTTGAATCCTTGGATCCTCTTTTAGAAATTATATTAAGTATAATAATAATCAGGGATTAAAACCAAATCAAATATCGGTTTCGGCTGCTGTTACGGATACAACCAACACAACTATTTTGACTGCGGTTTCGGATTTGTATTGAATTGAGTTGTATTTCAGTTTCGGTGAAGCAACAAAAACAACTTGTGGTTACTGCTGTTGTACCGATTTTAATAAATTAATATTTAAATTTTTCTAAATGCTCTATTAATGCAGGGCACCGAATGACGTCATGAGTTGTATTTCAGTTTCGGTGAAGCAACAAAAACAACTTGTGGTTACTGCTGTTGTACCGATTTTAATAAATTAATATTTAAATTTTTCTAAATGCTCTATTAATGCAGGGCACCGAATGACGTCATTATGAATCATTTGAAAATTTTAAAATATTTAATAAATAATTTTTTTTTTAACGTTTGATGATGTAAATGCAAAGATAAAAAAAATGAAGTATACCTTTTTGGTTGGGTTGATAATTTTACGCGCGCTATGGTTATGGAATTTTTATTAAATAATAATAATTTTTAGTTGATTACATTTCCTTTTTATTGTTGTATCCGATGAATCCGTTTCATATTTTTTCTTTTTGTTGGAATACATTCCAATTTTGAATGATTCGAAAACTTTACAGTTAAAATGCTGTGAAACCATTTTAAAGCTTAAAGCTTATTGTTAATAGTCCGTTCACGATGATTTTAAAAATACATTCACTGTTTTAAGAACTTGTTCAAAAGCATTGTCATCTTTTAGGCGTCGGCATAGACAAGTTGTTTTGAATATCCAAGCATTTTGCGATGACTTCCGGAGCAAACATCACAAGTTGTTTTGAATTTCCAAGCTTTTTACGATGACTTCCGGAGCAAAACACCACTATCTAGGGAATGCTCTTCCAAATTTGTATTAATTCGATTACGATAAGTGCTTTAGTTTTGTCGAGGAACTGATACTTTCAGGCTCACAAGTTCACAAAATGGATATAATGCCGGTTCGCGGAGATCTTCTTTTTCATCTGCCTTACTCACCACTCATATAGGGGATTTCCCGGTATTAGGTTTTCTTTCGGGCCTTTGTTAATAGAACAGTATGGTTTTAATATTTGGGGGCCCAACATCTTGATCACTGAAATGTTTCTCGTAAAGATAAAGGCCTAGCGTGTGCCCAATGTGTCTGTGGACTGCTGCCGATTTGATGTCTTGTTGAACTGTTAGAGGAAGAAAAAACAAGCTTGCATTACTCATTCTTTATTTCCTGGAATATTTTGAAGATTAGACACCAGCTGTTTACGGATTCGTGGCAATGCTGCCAGGAGTTGCCAGACTGAGAAGTGTAACGGATTTCTTAGTTAAAATTTATCCATACACGTTCAAACATATATATTTGTGGAGAGATCAATAGTACTACAAAAATATTTTATGATTTTTAACTCTGTATAAAGGTATTTTTGGTAGAGAGAATAATATGACTTTAACCACCTTAAGCTTAGAATATAATTTCTTAACTTGAAAACAATTTGGTTAATCATCATCTATCGATCTACCAGATCTCAAAATATTTCGCATTACAGGGTAGTGTTAGTATATCATCTAAAATCTAGTCTAGAAAAATGCATTAATTAAGGAACGTGTAAAAGCTTTGACAAGCTTGTTTATTGGTTGTCTAAACTTTTACAATTTTAAATGACTAGCTAGTAATGTGACATTGAATTTGTGCATTTTGTATAACTTTAGTACATTGCTAGTACGTCAATGGTAGAACTAACTAAACGCTAACCTAATCCTTGGAGACGGGCTTGCAGGCGATCATGTAGACCGGAAAGAGTCCCTTGGGAAAGTTTTGTTGCTTGACCTTGCGCACGATGCGGAATCCGGCTTCCTTCAGGAAGCGCTCGTAGCTGTCCAGTGGCCTGGTGACCGACGAGTCCTGCTTGTCCTCGACCGTCTTCTTGGAGCTGCTCACGTTCTCCTTCAGGCAGAAGAAGCCGCCGGGCGCCAGTCCCAGCTTCATACGCCGAAAGAAGGCGACCAGGTCACGGTCCGTAAGGTGTCCCAGCACCCACTGGCTCCAGATGAGGTCGTAGTGCTGCGAGGGCGTGAACTTCTGCAGTCCCATGTTGTAGATCTGGCCCAACCTGCCGGGAGTCACGTCCTCCGACGTGCAGTACTCCCGCGCCTTTTCCGCAAAAGCGGCATCCTGCTCCACCAGGTCCACGCAGCTGAAGCGCGGAATAAGGAGATTCCGGGTCACACGCCCGATTCCGGCGCCGCAGTCCAAGGCCAACCTGTTGCCCGGAACGCGAATCTCGCGCAGGAACACACTGGAGCCCTGTATATCGATGGCACTGATGTAGCCCAGACCGCCGAGCATCCCATTCACGGTGGCCGGAACCTCGGCCCAGTACTTTTGCGCCTTGTCGTAGAACTCGGGCTCCGGCGCAATTTTGGTGGCACTGCCACTGGGAGATGGCGACGCCGAACTGTCCTTGGATCCACCGGGTGCGCTGCTGGTTTCCTCTTGGCTTGCCCGCTCTGGGCCACTGTCCTTGATCTCGGCCATCACTTGCAACTTGTCTGAGAGCTGCGTTTCCAATGTGGTTGTCATTTTTGTCCGGATCAGGATTCCAAATTCCGCATGCTTTGTTTTGTTTTTACCAGTGCTGCCCAACACTGCGAATCCGACAGGGTGGCAGCACCACCGCGAACAGCTGTTCGACGAGGACCAGCTTTATCGTTTTGTTTATTTTACGAGTTTTGTGTTTCATTTTTAATTGTTAGTCCAAAATGACGCTCGATTTGGATGCAAATAAGAAGGATGACAAGCTGCTGATCGCCACCATCCAGCAGGAGTACAAAATTCTGGCTGAATAGTGAGTTTTATTCGCAGCTTTACTAGCTAGCAAAACAAACTTACTAATTTCTTTATTTTTGTTCTTAGCAAAATGATTGAGTCAGAGAAGTTGAGTGGTATATATGTTATACCAAGCTACGCTAATTCATTGCGTGAGTATACCTACATATATGTTTAAGGCAAGCTATAGCTAAATTAACCTATTTCTTTTAGAGTGGTTTGGGGTCTTCTTTGGACGCCAGGGCTTGTATGCAGAAAGTGTGTTTCGCTTCTCGATTTTACTGCCTGATCGATTTCCCGACGACAAAGCTCTTCCGGTGATTAGGATCGTAGTTAAAGCAGGAGAACATTACTCAACCTATCCTCTTTTAGACCATAATATTCCAGCAAGACGTGTTGCATCCCCATGTTTGCCCGTACACCCACAGCTTGGACGTGAGTCACGCCTTTCCCGAGTGGCGATGTGGCGAGGATCACCTCTGGCAGCTGCTCAAGTACACGCAGGCCATATTCTCCGATCCCGTTGACAGCATTCGGGGCATTGAGTTGGACAAACTTAAGAACAGAGAGGCTGCAGAGCTGTTGATGACCAACAAGGAGGAGTTTGCGAACCGAGTGCAGGAAAACATAAATGAAAGCAAGGAGCACATCTACGACAGCCCGCCTACGGAGGATCCGCACTTCATAGTATTTGAAAAGTTTCAGCCCGACTTACACGGGCCAGTTTTGGAGCGCATTAAAGCCGGAAGGAGCAAGCAGACGGAGACCTCCTCCCAGCAGGCGAATGGAGGCCACGCCACTGGTCTCTCGTGGGTGAAGGAGGGGGAGTTCAAGCCCCTCAGCATCGAGTAGAAGCTATACACTGGCTCAGTAAGTTATAGACGTAGTACTCAATTTTAATCCATTAAAGTTATTCGATTATATACACTCCTCGTTCAAGGGGAATCGCTGGGTGTTGCTAACCCAGTCGTTCTCCAGCTTCAGTCGCTCTCCGTTCCATCGAAAGTGTGTGGGGGAAGCCTCGCCAGCCGGAAATTCAAAGTGCTGGCTCAGTTCTATGGCCAGTTTGGAGCGGACCAGGCCTATGCCGCCCACCTGTGGCGTCGCTGGATGGTAGACCCTTCCATTGCGCGGGTCCATGTACAGCTTGTGGGGTTCGTAGGGAAGAGTTAGGACCTGACCCGAATGCGCATAGCTCAGCACCTCTGTTTCATCCTTTTTGAGCTGTTCTGTGAACACAAGAGGCGTGTCATCGCATCGAATGAAATTCCTTTCCCGTCCACAAAGGGAAATGTAGGGAAAGTCGCGTTCATATCTGTTGGTTTTGTTCAGTCGCAGACGGTTGAAAAAGAACTTGAGGAAATCTTTCTCCTTAAAGCAACTGGTAAAGTTTTTCATTTTCGCATCGTCCAAAAAGAGCTACAAAAAGTTTTCTGTTGCCTTTAAAATATTTTGACATATTGAAATATTTAGGACTCACCATTCCCTCATGATCGATGTAGTAAAAGTATTCGCGAATTTTCGGCTCCGGTGACTGTCCTTGATTGTATTGCAAAAAACGACAAAATGGTTTTGGAAAACCAACTGTTTTTAGGTTTGCTAGGAATCTGCAACGCAGTATTAGCATTGTTATTCTTTCTGAGAACTGCGATTGCGAAAAGGCAGCAAAAACAGCTGACTTTTGTTTACTATATAATAGCCGCCCCCGACAGTTTTACTCTTTTGGGATTGCTCTTCTGCTTAAAGCCCTTCCTATAGAAAGACACTTCAGTGTCGATACCATTATCGACATTAGCATAAATAGACATCTCGGAAAAGTTTTAAAATTAATTCATAATAATAAGTCTGATTTAAAAATCTGTGTGGCTGCTGTTTGAAACCGCAATTTTCCCAAAAAAGCTTTTTTTACCAATAACTGCCGATTTATTTTTCAAAAAACCGTTGGCCGAAAAGTATGCAAAGCTTTTGTTTTACCAGTTTACTGTCAAATGTCAAAAACAACGGTTTTTAAATATAATATTAATATTCCAATTTCCAATTTTTTTTTTATAAATTTATAGTTTTTTCGATAATAAGCCAATGATTTTAAAAAAGGATTTTCCTTTTTATATCAACAAATATTAAATCATAATGTTGAACTTATCAACCTTGTATGATAAAATATTCTTCACTACCCAATTATTTTATCATGCAGATAAATATTACTTAGTATATAAATATACTTTGGACTTTTGATAAATTCTTTCCTTGGAATTTGATTATAAAAGTTTTCAGTTAATGGTAGCAGTTGGTATTTATACCTCTTTTAATTTTTATGGTGATACAGTTCTAAGATTTTTAGGTTCGCAACCTTGGCCAACTGATACATTGGCCTTTTAAAACCATAAATCGGATAGAGCTCAATTAAACTTAAACAGTATCTTGGTTGCATGATAAGCTGCACGTTTATGATACTTCCAATTTTTTAGTTTCTGATTCTCTGATAATAAACCGACTGCTGGGTACTCTTTTAAAGTTTTAAAACTGAAAAAATATCTAGTTATATTTTTCCAACCGGAATTATAACAATCCCCATTGAGGCAGGGTATTAAGGTTTAATTCCCCGCATTTGAAACTGATAAGATATGGTCTGTCCAGTAATTTCTGCACCATCGGTTTGATAGCTTATGAAAGATTTCCATTCAGACGGAGGCGTGGCCCTGCTTATCTGTACGCCAATACGTAATAATCGCGCAGAAGTGTGTGGAATCTTTTTATTTATAGGGGTGTAGTGGTAAAACGAATTAGTTTATAAATTTTTTGAATCTAATCTTTAAGCTGCAGCTTTAATGATTTTTTTTTTTGTATAATATGTTTCTGACTGTTGCTTCAGAGTTCAAAGTTTCAAGAAACGAGGAGCCTTTCACTGATCAGCAAAATATTGATTTTTTATTTTCATTAAAGATAGGTAATAGATTAGAGAATTACTTTAATTTAGTAGAACCCATATGTGTGTCCAATAGAACACATAATTATTTATGTTTATGGATACATATAGAGTCTTACTAACACAGTTCTCTGTTGGCAGATAAACACTGCCTCCGTGGAGCACTATCTGTCCTTTATATCTGCCGTCGCTCATACGCAACATCATTCGTGTTGGGTCCTCTGTCGGTCTGGCGATAAGACCTCTCCAATTTTGTTATTGCCACAATCGCGCGTGCCGCAATATAAAAATAAAAATCTCAAAACCTCCGAAATACACGTGTCTGCCTACCTACATATACACAACAAAGTATATATATTATATAGTTATAGTTAAGAAAGAGAGCTCCCCATAAATCCAGGTGATACCGACGATAGCAGAAACAGAGAGCGTAAGCGAGGAGTCCTCTCTTTTCTGGTCTTACTTGTACAAATCATCGCCAGATCTTGACAGCCATTTGGAGTCATACGATTCTTCCGACTCTGATGGTGATTTCCATATATGTTGGCACACCGGCTGTAAATACAATAAGCTCCACGCGTCCAATCCAAATGACCAGAGCATTCTTATTCGTTCCACAACATAACCAACTTGAAAAGCTGTTCATTTTCGTAAAGTTCCCACTAGCATAATAGTTTCATATCAGGGGTTGTGATGCGGTTGGCCTTATTTGTACCTGGCAATCGTGGGAAAGAGGGTATGCTGTACTATCATTGGTAACATATTTCGCATAATATGGATGAACTCTCTGAGGTTGAGAATTTTATAGTCCTGATCGTCCTAATCAAAAGTTTCCATTTTATATTGTTGTACTAAGGTTTTGTTTCTGGCTGCATATACTATATATTATTATTACTTTTTTTCCAAAGTTGGTGATGAGGTAATCAAGAGTTACCAGAATTAAAAACTCTCGATAGATAATTTGGGTAATTATTCTTTTTATTTTTAACCAGTAGGCTACCAAATTTGTATTCTGTCAAACAGTTTTTTTAAATTTAAGTTTTTGGACACAATTTATTGCCAGTTTCTGTGTTTTTACATCTTTCTGGATGGTTCTAAATTTGCTGTAAGCCTGGATGAAGTGGTAAAGTTCATGCAAATCTGGTTTTTTGGGATCCACCCAATTTTGGGGGCTGGTGAACAGCTGTTGCGCTCTTGCTTGCGCTGCGTCTCTCCCTTCCTCTCTCTCTCTCTCTCGCGTGCTGCCAAATGTCAATAGAAAGTTCTCTTGCGCGACCGGCATACGGCGACAAAAACAGCTTTACCGCTAGGACAAAGTTCGATGTTGTTTCAGTCTCTTTACCAGGTACTTAGGAAGTTGTCTAGACTCGTTCAAAACATTGTTACGGCTGAAAGTAAGCCATTGTGACATCATTAAAAAAAATTTATAATAGTTTTTTATAATTTTTCTTACATAATGTAGATTTTTGAATTTTTATTCGAGAATTTTTAGTTAGAAACAGTGCTCAAAAATTTATAATTTTAGGTGCAAAAAGAAGGTAAACATTTCAAAAAATTGTAGTAAGACTCAGTAAAAATAAATTTGTTTGGAGCCTTTAACTTTTTACAATTTTTTTTCTGTTTATATGATGTGAAGAAATCGTAGAATTGTATACTATGTTGGGTCTTTGAATCTCATAGAACTAGATCTATTAGTAGGTTTCATATTTGTATCTGTCCTTCCGTCTCTGAACATCACCGAGAGTTTTGATAGTCGAGAAAGCGTTATCTGTCTAGTTTGTATAGGGGTTTGAGTTATAAAGGGGTACCATCTAGTCGGTGCATCCCATCCATTTGAAGTGAGAACAAATCATTGCCGGCATGGAGCTTGGGCACGCGCAGGCCTCGAAAGTGCGAGAGGAGCCGCAGAGATTGGGAGACAGAGAGCACAGTACCGGCGAGAATGTTCGCAGCCCGCTAAAAACCTCCACTCTCCACAGAACTAGTCGAAACTTTTGAGTTTTTTTTTGCGCGGCCAGTCCGACGGACAGCTTTGAAGTGAACGGTTCGCGATTTCCTGGGCAAATCGACGGAGAAGCAGAGTGCAGCTACCGTTTGCGAATTCGCGCTGTTCTACCTACCAAAGCAAAGCAAACCAAACCCGAACCAAAATCCAAACTAAAAGAGGCCGACAAAAAGTTGACAAAAGGCACATATATAGTAGGAACCGTGAATTTGTATGTGCTGCTCTGAGCTCGAATGTATATGGAGTGCCAGAACCCACGTTGACTCACGACTCGTTTGAAATTGTTTTATAGTGCTGGATAAGCCACCTTTCGGAGCCGCCAGGACCACGAGGATTTGGATTGGATAGGCGCAGGACGCTCCTCCGGAACATTTGCCACTAAAGAGTGAGTTGACTTGGCCAATTCGATAGCGGCCATCGATCAAGTGCATAGGAATTTAATTGCATAATTTTTGCTCAATTTCTTTTTACGCTCGGTTCGAAAGGGGTGGTGGACCCTTTCCCATTCCCATTCCCATTCCCCTTGTGCTTCCCCCTTTCCCCGTACTTTTACCAAACAGTGTAATTTGCCTTCGTCACTCTCTGGCAGACATGTGTTAATTACATTTTATTCTGTTCTATTCCAAACCATACACACACCCAAACGATACGATACGATACGATACGCACCATCCATCCCAGAGAGGGGAATGTGGCTGTTTTATTTTCGGACTCATCCTACTTTTTTCTGCCCAATATTTATGACCTTCTTATGGTTTCGCCATTGGGTGAAACGTGTTTGTCGCACAGCCAGGCGCAAACATGCAGAGATATAGATCCATAATCTATATGTGTGTTGTGCATAATTTTGAAATTAGCCCGCATGTGCAGTGCGAAAGCCATTAATGTGCGATCTGTGAAAGTGATAGTGATAGTGATATATGTAGGGTGAACCGAAATTTAACCAGTTTATGGGACACATTGATTTACCCGATTGCGTTTGATTTGCCATGCACGACAGGCCGTCAAATATATGGGCAGCTGGACCCGGACTAGTCAATGTCAAAGCTTCGTCTCTATCAGCTATTCATTTGGCGTGATAAGGTCTAGAGTCTAGACTGGCTGCTCAAGTAAATATAAAAGTATTTGAACAAAATTACATACATTTAGTGATTTTTCCAAGCACAAGTTTGTGGTTTTTGTTATGAAAAAATGAAAATTATTTCTAAAAAAAATAATTTGAACAGTATTTTTACAACTCAAATCAATAAAAAAAAAATTAAGAACTTGAACTAAAAGTTCTAATGCATATATTATAAAAGGCAGGATTAGTAATCAGCAATTAGAATTAAAATACAAATTATTTGTTTTTCCCATTTCATAAGCCTAATCTGGTCTCAAAATCTGATTCACTAGCGGAAGAAAAAGCTTACAGCTACATATGTAAATCCATGAATTCGCTATTTCCGTCAGTTCGCACCTTTTTTTGCGGAAAATCAATGTACGACCCACATTTAAAAGCGACTTTGACCTTAGCAGCTTGTCGTTCAAGATCATACGTTTGTAGAGCAAAAAAAAAAAAAAAATATAATCATAAGCACGCACATTTCTCTAAGCAAAAGTTGATGAACAAAAGCAAATCGGTCAAGTGGCTGCGACATTCCATTATTATTACTGTTGCACGATGTAGTTAGTGTGATTATCGTGTTATTATTACATAATCGCTCATTTTGATGGGCAAACACAATCGGGTTTTGGGGATGGTTTTCGTTTGCCGTGTCAACAAAGTTTTCGAGTAATTCCATGAGATTGGACAGGACTGCGCCCACTTTTCTTGGGGAAAATATAAGGAACACACCCAGAGAACCAGCAGAAGCAACAGGATAATTGATCGCCTGCAAATATTGTCAGAAATATGACACGCAGTTTAACTTATGCCAAAGGTGCCAGAGATACCCCAGAAATACCTGAAATACACTCTGATTTGCCTGCGAAAATACGTGTTTTTTTCACAACATGCTAAACAATTTGTTAGACATGCATGCATTCAATTTATTCTGATGCTAATGCGCTTTAATTTTGTAATACAAAAAGGCAAAAAAATATTCCAGTGCCTTAAAAAGCTTAAATTCTAATTAAAAACTGAGAAAATATATTTTTTATCGCAGATCGATATTTAAGTTATTAATTGCAAGCCCTCATAATTTGTAAGGCATGCGATAAGCATAAAGCTTCCGATTATAATTTCCGCTTTGGCCAGTGATAAGATTTGCCTCGAATGTTTTAATTTAATCTAGAGATATACCTATTCAAACTATCTATAACTTTTAATCCAAGAACGCGACCTTGTAGAACTCCTGATAACTTTTGCTTTCAGTACGGTACTGTACTTTTTTAGTCCTGAATCTCTTTATAAGATAAGAAATCTAATATGACAGCTGACCTAAATTCACGACTGTCTCAATCTGACGACCCATATGCTCGGGCTTCGCGTTATCATTAGTTTAGTAAGAAACATATTTCAAAATATTTGTAGGGTGTGTAAATTTGGTACTAGTTCTTTAGTTGGATTTAGTTATTTTTAAAGAAAGGTGACATTGGACTTATCTTGCCCATAATAAAAGCGTTGGGTTATCGAGCAAGTCTATTAAATCAAGTAATTAATCGCATAATCGTGAAGTAATGCGGCGCAAGTTAATCAAATTAGCAAACAAAATTGATACTAACACGGGGAAATTTAATTAGAGTTGATCAAAGCTAAGATTTCCATCACGTCGCTGCTATTTATAGGTCGAGGGCCCCCAGCAGTTTCATATATGTAAGTGTGCACTCCCACCGGGAATGATAATATTTACCAAAGCCCGACCTCCGATGTGTTAATAAAGCGAGCTTATCGTCCGCTCATTATCTGCACTTGTGTCACACATCCAATACAGGTGTCAACATGGGTGCTTGATTATCTGTGGATCCCAGGAACACCGCCTTTTGCAGGTCATGCACTTCATTTAATTGCAACTACCAATGGTAAACACCTCATTGAGTTGCCCGAAAATAGAGTCGATCTTTGAACCCCATCGAAAGGGGGCAATCAAAGCGATTAGCGCAGAGTCAAGGTCCCAGACGTACTCCTTGGATCTCAGATCATTCGGTCACCTGACCAGTTTGCAATGCACTTCAAAGTGTGACTTTTTCGGCGAGTCATTGATAGTTTATTTAGTCAACTGGTTTTCCCAGACGCATACGCAGACGTAGACGAGCCCCCACAAAATAGAATCGGTTTTCTCTACGACTACGACGAGAGTAACCACTGTGTCGGCTATTTGAACTCGATTTAGGTCGGCTATTCTGAAATGCAAACGAGTGTCTGGCCAGCAAAGCCAGTCTCTGACGCACCCTTGCACCCGAAACCGTGTCCGTTTGTCCGTCCGTTTGTCTGTCCGTTAGCCTGTCCGTTTGTCCGTCCGCCGATTTGTCTCATCGTCGACGGGGGCTAACAACACCCATTTGAATCGCTGATAATGAGCAAAACAAGCTAAAAAGCTAACAGACATGGGAATAAATAAAATATTTAATGGCATGTGCGGCAAAAGCGAGCCAACAATCAGCGTACTGTGAATACTCTTTAGTAGAAGAGCTTAAAATATTTGCCATGTATGTGTAGTCACTTTTTGCGTTTTAATGCGGCTGTAATAATTTTGTGTTTACTTATATTATGGGTGCTTATTAAGTCGTCATATACATATGTACTTCGAAAGATAAAATAGAAGCTTTAAACAATATGGAAAATCAGAAATGACGTTATTATCTTTAATAATTGCAAAGGTATTTAATGGGTTTTGAAAATATTATTTAAAATTAATTGGAAAGTTTTTAAACACGTACTTTTATAATATAATTTGTCAACTAACTTATCTTTTATTTCCTCGTTGATATAAATAGTTAGACCCGCTCACCATACACGACCACTATTTAATTTTCAAGTGCGAAAACGTGCTTAAGTATACATATGCTGGCACAGTAGTAGCAAATATTTGATTATCTATTACTAACTCTGCTATTGTACTTAATAGTTCCTTAACAGGCAGTTTCAATGTTTCAATTAGGGACATTTTTTGGTCTTTAGAAGTTTAAATGTGCGGCAACCTATTAAGAGAACACAAACGAACAAAGTGAGGTGCCATATAATTATACGAGTTTTGTCGTGCACTTGTTAAAACCTGCTTTCGATTTTGATCACGTGAGTCAGTTCATATTAATGAGCAGACAGATTGTTTTTTTTGTAAATGGAATAATACCAAAACAGCAAACAATCGATGGACTTTGAGCCGACGATTAGGTTTGAGCTTAAGCAAACAGGAGTGGCCAAAATATTAGGAACCAGAATTTTTGGAATATTTAAAACCAACTTATTTTATTTTAATGATAGTCTGGATTTTAGACAGAGAATAGTAACTTCTGGTAACAAATTTCAGACTTGACCTTATTCTATTATATTAGAAAAGAATTAAAAGTCGTTTTAACCCGCAGAGTTCTTAGATTTCCAATTGCAACAATTTCAAAACGAGACCTTCC